TTTTTCTGCAGCTGCAAAGATGAATGAATAGGAACCACTCTGAGGCTCCCTGTTCATTTACAAATTGAAGCATAGTAAACACAGTTTACTATACTTCAGTGATGGACACCGATCACTCACTGTGTTCATTCAGGAAACGATGGGCCTGCAAATATGACATATTTACTGGCCCCCTGCTCTCCATCCTGAAACAATCCCCCAGATGTACCCTTAGCGGCTGCCAGGGGGAAAGATGGAAGGAGGCACAGATACAAGAATTAGAGGGAGAAAGCCGACAGCGCTGCAGGGGGATCCACAAGAGTCACAAGGCAGTACAGCCAGCAAGTGCCCTGACCCCTCTTTTGAACTGATGGGGCCTGGGCCCAGTACAGGAGGGCTGGCTGTACTGCCTTATCAGCAGCCCTGAATGCAGCCTTCCATTTTTGTGGTTTTTCTTGAGCTTTCATATTCCCCTGGTCATAACCTGGCTTATATTCTGCCCCGGGAGATTCTGCACCTGCATCCTCAGTGCTCTAGCTGGGGAATTATATTGTTTACACATTGGCAACATTCATTTAAAATGATTCCATGGGTAGAGCACTGGGTGGGCATGCACAAGATTGGTGGCATCTCATGGTAACACCAATCTGTAAATAATATAATTCCTAGGATAGAGTGCTGGGTATAGATTTGCAGAATAGGGGAGCATGCACATATAGTCTGCAGGCAGTACTGGCTATGTCATTTTTGCCAAGGTGATAAATATGGAAGTATAGGCAGTGAAGCTTAAAAAAAGTTAAAAAAGAGAAAAATTATATGCAATTTTGTCAAAGGAGGGTGTGAAAAAAATATTAGGGAATCTGCAAAGTGGGAAGGTCTGCTTTAAGCTTTAATTTTATGTTTACATCTTTAAAAATAAAAGAAATAACCTTTAAACTTAGACTTCAACCATACTATTAGGTTTATTTGTGGGCTAAAATACAGAGATTTTGTAGCACGCTGTACTCAAGTAAGGCATTTATGTATTTTATATTAATGCATGCTATCTCTGGTGGGAATAATGTAAGAAAATACAAAAGAATTGGTGCAGTTCGTGAAAAGGGTAAACCAATTTATCTTGTAGGAATACCAGGTGGAAGTAAATTTGAGCAAATTATGAGTCATTTTCAGGAGGGAGCGAAATATCAACATTTTGTAAAAATACTTATGCAAAATCAAAGTATAACTCTACCTATATTGGTACTCCCTGACTATGCCCCCAAGCTGCCTCCGCAGCAACTTCTCAGATACTTTTTTTAATCTTCTCTGATGAGAAACATTATTTGGTATTAGCAGGCAGCTGGAGATGAAAAACCACAGAAAAAAATGGCCCTCTGTATTCACAGAATTACATTTGGAGTTAGAAACATAGAAGACTGATGGCAGAAAAAAAAGACCAAATAGTCCATTGAGTTTGTCCCATTGTTTTATTTATATTTTTTATTATTAATAACTTTTTATCTGAGTCTAGATCTATGCTTGTGACAAGAATGACTGAATCCTCTTACTGTGACTGACTCTGCTGGAAGTCTGTTTCAAGCTTTAACTAATCTTTCAGTATAGTACCTTCTATGACTAGTTTTGAACGTCCCTTCGACTAATTTGAGGTCATGTCCCCTGTTACCCATTTTTGTCTATGACCCTCTTAGTTTTTGGCTAACTAAATTGTGTTGTACATTTTTGAGGCATGTTGGCTTTTTCTTCAGGCACTAAACTATCATAGAAAAAACACTGGTGAAAAAATGGAAAGGAGCTGGCAAATTACTTGCAGCTCATTTTAGTAGCATTTTCATATCCCATGTCCATCCAGCCTTAGGGGTTTGCTTTCTTCCTAAGCATGAAAATTACTAATTGGATTGGTTTAAACATGTTATTTAAATCCACCCTAAGCTGAATTACAGGGTACTTCTAGGGTGCAGCATTCTGTTTACTTCTGAATTCAAATAAAGTTTGATACAGGCCACGGTGCCACGTCCCCCAGTATATCAAATACTATCAGAACAAGTCCAAAAAAGCACAACAAACCAAGATATAAAACAAATAAGTGTTACTGAATATTCTCTAAAACCACAGGGCTGATTAGAAAATTGCCCAACAATATCTATGGAACCACCTATCAACACATGTCACAAAATATTTTTGTACATTCTTTACAACCAATAAGACTTTGACCGATTGTTAGATGTAAGTCCAACGAGTTTTCAATTTCAAGAGAATCTTCATCAGGGATAGATGGGTAGTAGGTATTGCCAACTAGCAGGATGCAGATGACCATCAGCCAAGATTAACAATAGTGTCTCCGTAGGTTGTTATTAACCCCCAAGATGGATAGACAAAGGGAGCACAAGGAGCACCAGAAATTCCTTCTAAATACCAAAAAAGAGGAGGAAAAAGGCTAAAACTGTCACTGGTACAAATATCAAAAGTTGAGTCTACAGGGAGCAGTCACTCACAGCAAGTTGGAAGCTACCATGGAAGCTCCCAAGTTGGAATTTGTCAACAGCCTCCCATTCTATTGTTAACCAAGGTCACAAAACAAAATATATGGTAGCAGCAGTCTGGATGCTATTTACTGTATAGCTCTGCCCAGGGAGGAGAGAAGGGTCATGTGAGTGCCTCCACCAATGGGAATCCTCATTCTAGGTGCCTAATCAGAAAAAATAAATTGAATTTAAGCCAGCTGTGTGTGGGCAGTGTCTGCAAGCTAGGGACTGTTTACAGATGTTGACTACAAGTTTCATCTGCCACCGCAGCACATGGGGTCTGTAGAGAGCACACCAGTGATTCCTCCCCCTCACTGCTGTAGTTCAGTGACCCTCCTCCAGTCAGGTCCCTGCCTGACTTCACCCACCTCTCCACCTCTCCATGAATGCTTTGCATTCATTCAGAAAATGCAAAGCATTGTCTGAATGATGCCTGTGCTGAAGGGCCAACCTTCTGTATTCACAATTCATCAGGCCAGCTGCTCAGCACAGGATCCTGAAGTAGGGATCACTGGAGTAGCAGTGTCTACTTCAAAGATTTCCAGCTTGCGGGAGTATCGGCCAGGTATGGTATATATGTAGTTAAATAGTTACGGGAAGCTGATTGGTTTCCATGTAGAGCTGCACCAGATTTTACACTCTCCAGTTTTAGTAAATAAAACCCATTGGTCCAAGATGGACCAATATAGCTATATACAAATATACCATGCCTAAAATTCTTCTTCTTTAAAGTGGTTCTAAAGGCAGAAATGCAACCCCCCCCAGCTTCCCCCTTATACTAACCTGAGCCTAATCTTGATCCTGCAATGTGCATGAGAGTAAACCAGATGACTGACCAGATCAATATCCCAGGGGTTTCATTGACTTGATGCTATACTCTGATTAAAAAGTGTTCCTTTAATTGTTTGAGCAGTGTAAATATACAGTATATATATGTGAGGGGTGTGTGTACAGGGCAGTCTCTATATTGTAATAGTGTATACATGGAAATATAAATGTGTGTGTGTGAGGGGGGGGGGGTGTACAGGGCAGACTCTATATTGTATACATGGAAATATATATGTTTGTGTTAGGGGGGTGTGTACAGGGCAGACTCTATATTGTAACATTGTGTACATGGAAATATATATGTGTGTGTGAGGGGGAGGGGTGTACAGGGCAGACTCTATATTGTATACATGGAAATATATATGTGTGTGTGTGTGGGGGGGGGGGGTACAGGGGGACTCTATATTGTATACATGGAAATATGGGTGTGTGGGGGGGGGGGGTACAGGGCAGACTCTATATTGTATACATGGAAATATATATGTGTGTGTGTGTGGGGGGGGGGGGGGGTACAGGGCAGACTCTATATTGTATACATGGAAATATATATGTGTGTGGGGGGGGGGGGGTGTACAGGGCAGACTCTATATTGTAATATTGTAATATTGTAAACATGGAAATATTGTATACATGGAAATGTGTGTGTGAGGGGGGGGGGTGTACAGGGCAGACTCTATATTGTAAACATGGAAATGTATATGTGTGTGTGAGGGGGGGGGGGTGTACAGGGCAGACTCTATATTGTATACTGGAAATATTATGTAATATATTGTATACATGGAAATGTATATGTGTGAGGGGGGGGGTGTACAGGGCAGACTCTATATTGTATACATGGAAATATATATGTGTGTGAGGGGGGGGGGGTGTACAGGGCAGACTCTATATTGTATACATGGAAATATATATGTGTGTGAGGGGGGTGTACAGGGCAGACTATATTGTATACATAGAAATATATATGTGTGTGTGAGGGGGGGTGCACAGGGCAGACTCTATATTGTATACATGGAAATATATGTGTGTGTGAGGGGGGGTGGGTGCACAGGGCAGACTCTATATTGTATACATGGAAATATATATGTGTGTGTGAGGGGGGTGTGTACAGGGCAGACTATGTAACATTACACAGGCACAGGCAGCGATTACAGCATGACATTGCCATTCAACTCCTGAAAAAACACAGAGCAATGTCAAAGTCAATGGACTTTAGCACAAATCATTTGAACGGCCCTCCCAGTGCGGCCCCTCCCCCTAAGCTCGCACGCACAGGCAGCCGCGGGGCATGCTGGGAGTTGTAGTCCCCTTCCTTCTCTTTCCCCCCCTCGATTGTACGGGCAGAACTCCCCCCAGGGAAGGCCTCGGCTATCCATAGCGGGTACACAGACGGATTTCTGACGGGGGGTGCCGGGAAGGGGGGTATGCGTGTTTCCTGCAGAGAAGAAGCGGCCGTATAGGGGGTCGGAAGTGGACTACAATTCCCACTGTGCAGCGCGGCGGCCAGAGCGCAGGCCGGGGAGACGTGCGCCCGCTATTTGCATGAATGGGTGGCGGAGGATGTTCCCGGAGTGAATGAGAGAGCGGAGTGTGTGGGGGGAAGATCCATCCGCCATCAGGCGCTCCTGGCCCCGGGAGCCGGGGAGCCGATAGACGTCGCTGAGGAGGACGGAGATGCCTCGGGACGACATGACCTCCCCGCTCATCCAGAAGATCGGCCGTCAGGCCCTGCTGACCTTCCGCGGCCTGGGCTCGGCCGACCCCGGGAAAGGTTTCTCGGACAACCTGGCGCAGCTCCGGAAGCTGGTGAGCGAGATCCGAGCCGAGGACCTGAAGATCCGGCCGCGGAAGAACAAGACGACCCCCCCACCGATCTCCGTGCCGCACAACCCGCCCGTCACCTATATGCACATCTGCGAGACGGACGCCTTCAGCATGGGGGTCTTCCTGCTTAAAGGCGGCACCGGCATCCCGCTGCACGACCACCCGGGGATGCACGGCATGCTGAAGGTGCTGTACGGAAAGGTGCGCATCATGGGCTTCGACAAAATGGAGGCGCCCGCCGACCTGCCGCCCCCGCCGCAGCCTTACCAGAGGAGCTCGGTGCTCCGGGCCGCCCTGCGCTCCAGCGGGGAGTACGGGGACGGCAGTCCGCCTTGTCTGCTCAGCCCGCACCGGGATAACTTGCACCAGATCACCGCCGTGGACGGGCCCGCCGCCTTCCTGGACATCCTGGCTCCCCCCTACGACCCGGATGACGGCCGGGACTGTCACTACTACAAGCTGCTGCCGCCGGGAGCACGCTGAGCCCGGGGAGGGAGCCCAGCAGGCGGCTGAGGACGGAGTGCACCCCCGGGAGGTGTGGCTGCTGGAGATCCCCCAACCTGATGACTTCTGGTGTGGGGGGGAACCCTACCCGGGTCCTAAAGTCACCATGTGACCCCTTTACCTCCTGACCCCACCAATCACAGACCCCCGACATACATGGGGGGCGATGCGCTCACTGACCCCCGCCGCTACTGGGGTCACCTTTGTCCCCTCCCCCGCCTCTTCCACCAGTCACAGCTGGGACTGCGGAGACCACCTTCAGGACACTGCTGTCATCGGGGGATAGGGCCCCTGCCCCTAATCACACACACCCTGGATGGTCAAGGGGGGCTGTGGGCTCACTGACCCCAAGGCTACTGGGTTCATCATTATCTCCCCACCTCTTTTACCAATCACAGCTGGGACTGCAGAGACCCCTTACAGGACACTGCTGTCATTAGGGGAGATGGGACCCTGCCGCTATTAGGATTACTTCCAGGCACAGTCAATAGGGGCGATGAGCTCACTGACCGTTGCTGATACTAGGGTCACCATTGTCTCCCGCCCGTTTCACCAATCACAGCTGGGACAGCAGAGAACCCCTATAAAACACAGGTCTGTCTTTAAGATAGGTGGGGGCCCCTGAACCCTGCCACTAATAGGGTCTCCATTGCACTCCATGAATCACACCTGGGACTGCAGAGAACTCCTACAGAACACAAATACATCATCAGGGTAGATGGCGGCGCGTGACCCATGCCAGTAGAAGTCATGCCAATCTCACAGCTGGGATTGCAGGGACCCCTGACAAAATACTAGTCCATCATTAGGAGATGGGGCCTCTGATCATTGCCACTGGTGTCATTATCATCCTCAGCTCTTCAACCCCTGTTACTACAAGGGTCACCATCACACCCACCTCTTTCACCAGTCACAGCTTGGACTGCAGAGACCCCCTACAGAACACTGCCCTGTCATCAGGGAAGATGCGGCCCCTAACCCCTGCCACTTGGGTTATGATCATCCCTGCTTCTTCCACCAGTCACCGTTGGGACTGTAAGCCCCCCCCCCCCCCCCCCACTCACAACATAACACAAGTCTATCGTTTGCGTAGATGTGGCTCCCTAACCCCTGTAACTACCAGGGTCACCATCGCACCCACCTCTTCCACCAATCAAAAGTGGGACTGCGGAGACCAGTGACAGAAAATGGGCAATCATCAGGAGAGATGGCTCAGTAACCCCTGCCACTATGAAGGTAACCATCACTTTCCTCCTCCACGGGTAGTCATCAGGAGCAATGGTGCCAATTGACCCCTACCAATGCTAAGTGTCACCAGTGTCCCACCTCCTTCACCAATCACAGAGAATCCTGATATTAAACTGGTCCAATATGTGAGATGGGTCCAATGCCCAAAGGGTCTGATTCCTGCCACTAGGGTCACCATTACCCCCACCAGTTTCACCAGTAACGGCATCTTACACTAATCCACAGCTGGAACTTTAGATATCCCTGACAGCTGGCCTACTAACCAAGGGCAAACCAGCAAGTCATCAGGAGAGTTGGGCCCACTGACCCCCCCCCCGCCATTAGAGTTATCACCCCCCACCTCTTACACCACTCACAACTAGAACTGCAGTGATCCCTGGCAGCCTACCAACCGAGGGCAAACCTGATCAGGGAAGATGAGGCCCACTGCTCTTATGGTGTGATCCTTGCCACTTGTCACAATCGTCTTCACCTAATCACAGCTAGAACTGCAGAGACCACTGTCAACTAGCCTACCCACTAAAGGCAAAGTTGATCAGTCATCGGGAGTTGTGGGGCCCACTGTTTCCAGGGTCTGCCCTCTGCTACTAGAGTCGCATTCATCCCCACCTCTACCACCAGTCACAGCTGTAACTGTAGAGACCTTTGACAGCTAGCCTACTTAATGAGGGACAGGTGATATGGTCATTAATATAGATGGGCCCACTGTTCCTACAGCATGATTCCTACTGCTAGGCCCAAGGTTACCCCACCTTTTCCACCAGTCATGGATAGGACAACAGAGACCCCTGACACCCTACTAAGCAAGGGTAAAATTAGTTGTCCATAGAGATAAGCATAGTAGTAGGGGGTCAGTGGGCCCAGGATCACCCCACCTCTTCCACCAATCACAGAAGAGCCTGCTGACAGCTAGCCTACTAACCCAGACCAAACCCAATCGGTCATTGGCACAGAAGGGCCTAAGGTTAGGCTTATACCCCACTGCCACTTAGGGTTGGCCCCCCACCACCTCCTCTTCTAGAAATCACAGCAAGGACTAGGAGAACCACCTAATACTTAGCTAGCCTACTGGTCATTTGTCAGAAGGGACAGGCCTGACCCCAGAGTCTTGCCCCTGTTGTCAAGGTCAGGATTGTTCCCCAGCACCACAAGGCTCCTGTGTACTCTGCATGTGGGGTTATGGGAGAAAACCAGAAAGATGCTGCAGAACCTTTTTGAAAGTCAAGTTGGGGGGTCCTTGTTCTTCAAACCCAGTCTATAATTCCTGAACATGTTGACTGATCCTACAGACTATAGAGATGCTGCAGAGCCTCCAGAACTGGACCTGCAGTATACCACGTCACCTTTAACAGATGCTGCTGAGCCTCCTTGTGTCTTGGCCCACCATTACTATGGTTTTGTGTGACTACACGTTGGACAGTAACATTTAATGCAAACACTGCCTTCATCTACAGGCTTTACAATTTTTTTTTTTTTCATTGCCAGTGCTGCCAAAGTCTGGACGTCTGAGGGACGCTTCTTGCTGTGGGTTGCTTCTCTACACACTAAAGGCTGCAAACTTGTCCTGTCCGTAGACCTAGCAACACAGTCTGTCACATTTCAAAGCCATACCAATTTCTTATATTACCGCTTTTTAACTTATTTTTTTTTCTCTCCCAAGTATGTGAGCAGATCTACAGATTCCTCGCTGTTAATTTATTTGAAACTTTTGAATGTTTGAATAGTTTACATCTGTTTTAGGTGACACTAATCTTCTCCCATTCTGTGTACATTGCGCTTTGCTCCTGCTAATTACGTAGGACTGGGAGGGCCATCATAGTTCTATACACACACATGGTTGTTTACTGGACAGGGACTTGTTCTTGCATTTGAAATGCTAGGCTCCTCATATCTTTTTGTTCAAATTTAGAACTGTGATGTACAGGCCACTATAAATAGCATTGCAGTGGTCTCTCTGCTTTTGTATGAAATGCGGTCTCTTGCTTCCTGACATTTTCCTGTAACATACAATTGTTTAAATTGGGTGTTTTGGATTTAAAAAGCTAAAACATTTGCTCATTTCTCAGTATAGTCTCTCAGGTTGACTTCTCTCTAGGGGGGAGAGATTTTTAACTCTAAAGAACCATTGACTGACAATATCCTTTTTAGAAGTGACATTCCGCCTAAGTTTCCTTTGTATTGTTATTCATTAAGTCCACTGTTTATGCTCTGGAAGCTGTGTAATGGATTGTGTACGTGTAGTCTACAACGGCCTGACAGCTTACCACAAAAACTTCCAGATGGATTCCTCTTAAATTTTATGTAGTGTATTGCCAATCTTGACCACTATGAATATTTTTTTTTTTTTTTTTTTTTCAATAACAAACAATGGAATCCTGTAATTGTCTTCACTATTAGTAATGTTAACCTGCATCTACTTTTCCCCTTGTATAGTATTTATGAAGCTAGGGTAAATTTTGTTGACTTGAAACTCTATTTTTATAATTTGTTCTGGAATGAAGTGATGAAGGGTTAAATATCTCAGGTTTGTGTTAATGGCTGTGTCCCTGTGAAAGAGCTTTACTGTATGTTGGGAAGTCAGGGGTGATGCTCCCCACTGGGACAGAGATGTCGGAGAGAGAAAAAAAGGACACCTAGGGCTCACTCACACAGGCAGTTTGGCTTGCACAGTAAATAAACTGTGTTTTGGGGTGCAAAGGAGGCACGGGTGCAATACCTAGCTTGCTGCTAGCAGCCTGTCAAGATCAATGATGGGCTACAATAAACAGCAGCTGGATGCTGTTCCAGGTTGTACTTGCATTTATGGCCATATGCGTTCAGAGACATACTCCCTGAACGCAGGAATTCTGCTTCCAGGGCATATGGCCATAAATGCAAGTATTGTGCAGAACAGCATGATGCTACATACAATCCTCATTGATTTTTAGGCTGCTGGCAGCAAGCTGCTAATGGCACATATGCCTCCCTTGGGTTTTGGCACCACAGGCCAAACTGCCCATGTGCATGAGCTCTAAATCATTGGAAACACATTAAAGATGAAATCCAGGAATTCAGCTACTTTTCTAAAAACTGCAGGCATACCATGTGTTAAGTCTAACGAGGTATCTGCCACCTTGTGGACTTGGCTCTATTATTTACATCTGACAAGTTTATTTTGCTCCAGGTAGATAACTTCTGGAGTTCTGATGCCGTGGGTCCAAGTTCCTTCAGGAGCAGAGTCGCTGGAACTGCTATGCCCACCCCTCCCCTTGTTCTGCCCATCCGCAGAAGCCTTTGTTATATGTGAACTTCACGAAATGCAAAGCCTTCTGTGAATGGGCAGCAGAAGGTAGGGGTGGGCATAGCCCCTCTGTGTGCTTCTTTCCTCTCTCACAGCTTTGAGTGTCCCGTTTTATCTTCGGGAGTAAAAAAAAAAACTATATAATGGAGAAATCCAGAAGGGGACTTTTTGCAAAGTTGCTGAATTCTTGGAATTCAGCTTTAAATGTTTGTTTTGGTGCACTTTCATTGATTTGTTGAAATCGCATATGGCTAAAACGAGTGTAGTTCAGGCCACAGGCTCTAACCCCTCTCCACTTTACTAAAGTGTTTTTATTGCTTTCTCTTTTCTTTTTTTAGTTTTTCTAGACTTCCTATCCTTAAGCTAGCCACACATGTAAAGAGTTCCGGACTGAACAAGGGGAATCCATACATTTCCCCCATCCACTAAACAGCGTGGATGGATGAATCTT